CGCCGTCGCCGCTCTCCGCCCCGGAGGCTCGCGCCGGGCCGCGGCGCCGCGGGTTCAAGAGTTCAGGCGGCGCCGGCCGGGCCGGGCGCGGAGCGGGGCCCGCGTGCGGCGGGCGCGGAGCGGAACAATGCGGAGCGGTGACCCCGGCCCGCGGCCCGGCCGGCCGCCGCGTGCGGGCCGCTCCGCCGCCGGGCCGGCCGGCAGCGCCGAGGGAGAGGTGGCGGAGTTCCGGGAAGTGCGGCAGAGCCGGGCCGTCGCGTTGGCCTCGCCGTGTCCCCGAGGGCAGAGCTCTTCGGCTGGGAGCGGCCTCGGCTGGGCGCTGAGATCTGCGCTGCTTCGGCTGCGGAGCCGCTCGGCGCGGCGTGAAAAGGCGGAGGGCGGTGTGAGCGCGGAAAGCTGCCTGTCGGCGGGCGCGCGTGGAGCTGCGGACCTGCGGGCGGCCGGCCGGGGTTCGGTCCTTGCGGTCGGATGAACGGGGCGTCGGGTTGGAGGACTGCCGCGCTCATCGTGCGGGTCGCGGCGCTTCTTTTTGTTGTTTCCCTCTGCGTTTGAAGCTGGAGCTTAAGCTCTAGCAGGTTAGGGTTACGCATTCCCGGTGAATTTGCGGAGTCGCTGGGTCGTAGGGGTTGAAAGAGACCTCTGGAGATCGTCAGGTCCCAGCCCCTGCAACAGCAGGTCGGGCGGGAGGGCACCCGGCTGGGTCTTGGGTATCTCCAGGGAAGGAGGCTCCGCAGCCCCTCTGGGCGGCCCGTTCCAATTCAGACCCGGTGAAACACAACTGCCTGCTCTACGTTTCATTTCTTATCCCTGAGCTGAAGGTGGCTGCCTTCAGTTTTCAGCCCCAAATTTTGTTACAGTCCTATTGATGCTGGAAGAAGTCCTGCGGTAAGTCGTGCTTTCCCAAGTAGGAATTCTTCAGAATTCTCATCAGTTTTCTGTGTTACATTCTCATTAAGAAAAATAATTTTCTGAAGTTTGTTACCAGGCATTCTTTTCTCTCTCTCTCTCTCTCTTTTTTTTTTTTTTAACTTCATTTATTTTGTTTTCTCCTGGGTGCCCTCCAATATATTGTCATTCTCCTTGAACTGCAGACAGTGCATTCTTTAAGCAATTATATCGATGTTAAGAAGATCTCTGTGGGGCCTGAGGCTCCAGGTTCCCTGTTTCACAGAGAACTGCAGGGAGTGTTGGGTTCCTGGCCACAACCTGGCCCTATGAAGCTGCTTCAGTCCCTTCAAAGTTGCCAGCGTGGTAAAATAGAATCTCCCACTGCTCTATTTCATCTTCCTTTTTAATCGTTGGACTCCTCTTAGTCATGTTAATATGTTGGCTGCAGTGGTAGTCAGCGACATGCCCTTTTTGTATTGCTCTTGCCAGTTTTCAGCATCTGTGGAGGATCATGTCATCTGTTCCATGAAGAAGCTTTGTGTTTTCCAGGTCAGTTAAGAATCTGTAGTGCAGAGAAACACTGGATCCCTCCAGGGTCTTTGAAGATACGCGAGTGCTTGATGATTATTTTCTGCCTTCCGAAAAACAACAACCCTGCTTTCAAAACATGACTTGGATCTTTTTAATAGGTGCTATTTTAAAGCATTATCGGTTTTTTATTGTGGAAATTCCTTTATGGAAATGGTACGGGGAGCAGTCCCAAGACAAGTTCCTCGCACAACCTTATGGGATTGTTGCCTGCTACCTATAACGCTCAGCCTGCTAATGAAAAAAAATAATCTAATTCTAATGTGACAATACTTTTGCTATGCTTTAGGAAGCAATGTCAAGGAGATCTTGCTTTCAATTCCTAAAAGTTTCATCTTGAGGCTATGTAGGTGGTGATAAATGGTATGTTTTTAAAAGTGTTGACTGAAATGTTTCAAGTTCATTGTGTTTTCTTTCTTAAGCTGTAGCAATGTCAGGGGAAAAAAAAAAACTGAATTATAGTATACTTGAAGTTCTCCTGTACTGAGTTCTTATTTAGGGTTCATGTTGTACGGTAAGATTTAAAATGCAGTGGGATGTAAACTGCCTTGGGGACAGTGTTAAATACTCAGTGTGCACAGGTGTTTCTGTTTTCGTTCTTACTGACATTCACCACGGCGTGGGTGGGGAACTGGGACCTCAGAGCCATGCTGGTCACTACTGAGGCTGGAAGAGGTCGTGTAGGTGCTGGTGTGCTGGAACGGAGCTCAGGCGCTCGTGGTTCACATTGTAGATTGCTTCGCGACGTTCCAAATGCTGGCTTTGATTGTGGCTGACAGGTAGTCATCTGAGCAGCTGAAGCTGTGTTAATCTGATGTTAAATTACAAAAATGTGTGCCGTGTTCATCTGGTACTTGTATTGAAGAGAATGTGGCCTTCAGGTGGTGCAGGCAGCAATATTTCCGTCAGACTGTCCTGATATTTATGCTGGTGCAGGCTGTGTTGTGGCAGGCTGTGTTCCCTTTGTGTGCAGAGCCGTGTTCACAGTCGTGGCTCATCAAAATGATTTCTCCTCCCTACAAGCCTTGCTTCTGTCGTCCTGTACTTAACTTCAGCCATCTGGTTTTTATCCTGCTCCTTATTTCTTGCAGGCACTGTTTTGTCTGTGCAGTGGCACTGTTCCTATCAAAGGAAGCGTGTGGTGGAGTATTGTAAGGACACCGTTACCAGGTCTGCTGTGACACAGCTTATCCTGTAGTAAATAGAAGTCAGCGAATTGAGAATGGAAATCACTGGAACCTCTTCGTTAGCTCAGAAGAGGTCAGTCGCACTGAGCAGTGCTTGGGCAGCGCGACCAAAGCAGCCCGGAGCGGGAGGGCTGAGATGGGTGCTCCTGTCCTCCACGCTCCCCGTTTTCCCCCTGCCTCTTATGCTGTCTGTTTGCAGCTGGAAGGAATTCCTGCAGAATGCTGCTCATAACCTTTATCTCTTAGAAAACCTGATTTCTGCACAGGTGCTGTCTCTTTGGTTGTACAGTCCTGTATTGAGCAGTAAATGGATTTGTTACTTGCTTGAGGAAAAACACGGTCTTCAGGAAACCGTAGTGGCTGTGTGGTAGTTGGTGAGACTGCCATAATTACTTGGAAGGAGAAATGCAAAAAGGTGATGATGATGATGAGTTCCTGGTTGAGTACATGTCCGACTTAGCGAGCCCTCTTGTTCTCATTCGGAGAAGGATTTTTGCTAATTGCTCTTCCTTGGTGTTAGCCCAGCTCTAGCACCCAACCCTGTGCTGTGTGCGACTGAATGACAGTCGCAGTTATTTGTTATTTTAAACTTGATGGCAACCGCTGTGGTCTCTGATGTTTCTTCTGTGCTGGCAGTCTTTGTCCGTCTCCGTCCTACCCAGACGTATGGGTTTTACAGCATTTAATTTGAGACGGTTCTTTACAATAGATAGCACTGACATTTGCTTAGCGTGACCTATATTTATAGCAGCTAATCTAAAATAACAAACTGCTCAGTGATAGTTCAGAGGGAAAGTTATGTAACTGCGAGACTTCAACTTTTATAATACGCTGTTAGGATTTATTTATTTTTTAAACTTACCCTTTTTGCATAGCTGTCAAGCTTTCTGTAACAGCTGTACGGTTGTGACTTTGGTAGGGCCCAATCTGAAGTTATAGTAGATTTGTGCATAGCTGTAGAAGTTGTAGAAAATAAAAATTAAAAATGCAGGTAATATAGAAAAATCTACAACTCTTTTTTTCTTTTTTTAATCAAATGAAACTTCCTGAGAGGTAAAAACAATGTTTGTTGCTAAACATGTTTAATACTAGAAGTTCCCTGTGATGCGGTGTTTCACTTGCTTAAGCTAAAGCTCATAAACAGAATGTATTTAAAATGTTTTCTATTAAAAGATAAAGGCACAGGAGTATTAAATACAATTTATAAACATATAAAAAGGTGAGTCACTTCTAAATATTACTAAACTTTCTGTCACGGTCTGTATTGGAAACACTGATACACGCCCAGTGGAACACAAGCAGTCTGTGGAGTAGCACAGGTATTTCACAGGGACTTAATGAATGAGCCAAAAAGGCATTTCTGAAATGGAGTGCTACTGACCTGTCCGGGAGCGTACCAACTGCAGCAGGTGTTTCAAGCATCTTGTTATTGGCTGCAGAAGGAGCTGAGGGTGCAGCCCTGCTGCCTTCAGCAGGTGTCCCGACAAGCTTTGCTGCCCAGATGCCCAGAAGGAGCTCTCAGAAATGAACCATGTGAAACACTGGGCCCGCCTTGAGGTCACCTACGATGATATTTCAGCTGTGAGCTCTTTCCCATGGAGCTGAGAGCTTCGCCGCAGGTTACTCAATACCTCCTTGTTCTGAAAGAAAGGGGTTTTGTGTTCTTTCACCTTTGCAAAAAGTCTTTCAGTCCGTATGTGTATCTTATCTTTCATCCTGTTACTTTAAGTGTAAGCACTTACTTTGTATCACCAGAGAACAACCTTTTCCTTTTGTTTCTTCTGTACTTTTGCCCACCTCTTTTTTTTTTTTTTTTCCTTTGGAGATGCTGTTGATCCTGGCATGATGCTGTCATGGGAAGGAGGTTGTTATGAGAAAAATCTTCATTAGGAGAAAAGCACTTGTGACTGGTTTTATTCGTTGTAGACACTGCTAGAGCTCTTATACAACACAACTGTATTTTCCTTGGATTGTTTGATTTTATTTATTTTATTTTTTTGCAGTTAGGCAAAGCATTCACAACTCTGCACATCAAAAAGTCGTTTTGCGTTATGAATGCCTATTCCATGCACTTAAATCTGGTTAAAAGATAGCACATGAATCCTGTCATTTCAGACCTTCCTTGGTGGCCTTAAGCGTGACAAAAATAACTCTGAATGCCATGCAGACACCATGCGGTGTTCAGCCTCTCCAGCCTTGCTGTGCCATGCAAGTGATGGAGAGAACTGAGAAGTTCCAAGCAAAGAAAAGCTGTGCGTTCAGAGAGGACTGAGCTCTTGTTATCAAGTTACCAAGCACCTGATTTACCTGTCTTATGAGGCAGATCTCATCAGTTTTGATTTTGTCATCTCTCCTCTCGCTGCTTCCTTGCCTTCTTGCTCTGAATGGGCTGTTACACCTCAATGGATGCTCTTGCTGTCCTTGAAACCTCTCTGGCCGTGGGTTACAAGGAACAGGGGTCAGGAGCTTTTATTCACATACTGCATACTTGGATTTTCTTATTCCAGAGCGGTACTGAGAACCTATATGTGTTAAAACAAGCTCTTATTTGCCCCGTTGCCTTTCTTTTCATCTTCCTTCTACAAGCCTACCTCTGATGCTTGCCTGGGACTTGTATAAGCGTCACCAATTACACTGAGCAGGTAAAAGGCACCCTTAGGCACACTTATCTGAGAGTAATGCTATTTACATAGGAGGATACGAAGGAATACTTACTCCTTAATAAGTCTGTGTGAGTTGCACAGGGCTGTCGTATGCCTAGATTTCACTGGAGATAGCCCTCTTTCTCACCTGAGCGTCACAGGAGAAGAGTTGGAGAGCTTTGGCCCTTCGTCTGGTGTTTCCAGATGTCTGGCAGTTTGTCTGAAAGCTCTTGGACATTCAGACTGTGGCAGACAAATGGTCTGTGCACATGTGCTGCGTGTGTGCAACCCGGCTGCTGTTCTGTGGAGATACTGAACGTACCAGCCTGTGCTGCACGTTGCGTGTTGCGCTTCGTTCTGACCAGGAAATCCTTTCAGAAATATGGCAACTTAGTGTTTCACACCACATCCTGTTTACTTTCTCTCTTCTTCGTGTCAAAAATTCTGGTGCTCGGCAGTGAACAATCCTTCAATTCATCTGTTTCTCACATTTTGCTATTCTCTGCTGAGTCTGCCAGGGATAGCGTTTGTACTAAGTTTTTCTCGATTGTGAGTGTTTGCTATACAAAGAGTGATCCTAGAGAGCTGACTCCTTAAGCCTCTGAGCAGCAAGCATTTGACAACTATCTTCAGTTTTTTGTTGGAGCTGGTGATGTGGAGGTCGCCGATCCTCAAAGCTGCTGAAGAGAGCTGGGATTTCCTTCTGATCTTTTCCCCTCCAGAAAACTGCCTTCTGTTCTCTTTAAAAGCAAATACAGGTTTTTCATCATTCAGAAGAACTTTATAACTTGTGTGTGTATCATCTTGTTCTCTATTACTACTTGTTTTTTTTGTTTAGAAAGCTGCTTGAAAGTTAGAAAATCTTAAAATGATGATTTGGGGTGTAATACAGGAGCTCGTTATGTAGGGTGAAGTTTTTCCCTAATACAGGGAAAAGTAAATACAGCACAGCTATTTTTCTGCCATTTTGAGCAGCACAGGTTTTTTCATTGAAGAACTCGTGCAACTGGGTTCATATGGTATGAATAGCAACTCCTGCTGGCAATGTGTTAGCCAGGGTCCCCTTGGGAAGACTAGAAATGCAGATTACAGTCTGTTCTAAGATGAAGAGAGCACTGATGAATGTAGCTTGAACACTTCTTCAAGGACTGTGCTAAGCTTCCTTATAAAGGTGGGGAGCAGCATCCTCTGATGTTTCCTTTAATGTAGAGGACGCTTGCGGATGTGTTTTACGCTGTTAAATCTTTTCTGAGCACGCCTCCTACGTTAGCACAGAGGGGATGTTAGTCACAGAGGTGCCTCTTTATTGAATCCAAAGGAGGTCGTATGAGCTGCTTACCCACTGCTGTGTGTTGTGAGATGGGGAAACCAGTGTGGGAAACATCTAGGCTTGCTAGAAGACTTAGAGTATATTTGGTTGCCCTAATGATGGGCTGTGCGGATAAACACGGATATTGCAGTTTGCATTCCTAAATGTAGGTGGTGAGTAGCTGCCTCAGTTCTGTGCAAGTTCCATGGCTCTGGTCTGCAAAGGCTGAGCTTCACAATGGTTTAGAAATGCTAGCTTTGAAACGTTGAGAACTGTACTGTTATTTCAGTACAGGATGTTTAAACCTTTGCTTTTGGGTTGGCCTCCTTTGTAAATCTGAGTGGTTTAGTGTGTGTGCCTTAGTTTCCTTAGTTTAAAGTAGAAGATAATTCATGGGTTATTTGACTGTAAAATGCTTGGAGGTGTGGTGACGGAGAGGTGTTGCCTAAGATAGCTCAGTCGATAGGACAGAGGTATTTGCATCTCTTCCATCTTTTGTGATTAACATCTCAACTTCAACTTTATCTTTTCCGTGTAATTGGAAAATAAAAAGCTTATTAAGAAATCAAATAGAACCTGAAAGGTAATACTTAAGCTTACCACAAATTATGGCACGGTTGTAGTGGAGAGGGAGGAGGAGGGTTGTGAAGCATCTCAGGAGCTGAAATGAATTGTCTGTTTTATAAGGCATTGATGCAGCTAAGCCACATCTTCAGATAATGCTTTGCTGACTTTTTTTTTAAGATGTCAGCAAAAATAAAGTTTAGATGACGATCGTACACCTTTAAAAGAAGAATGTATGGCAGTGTGTGAAGTCCTTTCATGTACCCCAGGTTCAGAAATAGCTTCTTTCTATAGGAATCCGAATTTTCACACCCGTAGCTTCAAGACGTAGTTTAACTGATTTTCTGAAGAGATTTATAATTGTTACTAAGAACTCCACAGGTTCCTTAGTCAGACAAGCCAGCACTTGCACTCAGCTACTGGAGTGCCAGTAAGACTGTTTCTGCTTTCCTGAAGCAGGTCTGCCTTTCCTTTCTAGAAGGCTCAAGCATAAATAATCAGACACACTGGCATGGGAATAAAACGGAGGCAGGTCTTTGTTGCTGTGCAATCCTTTTCCTCAGTTGAGAAATGACATGTGTTCGAGGAGAGGATCATGTGCACGGTGCAAACTTGTGCTCGTTCCAGCAATTACCTACATATAATTTCCTGCCTCGGAGTTTAGTTCTTGGAAGCTGTCACCTTGGCCCTGGAAAGCAAAGAAGTAAGGAGTGTTTCCTCTGGTGAGTACTGCAGGCGTTGAGTGCGAGCGCCAGCAATCTCAGTCGTGTTCATGGGGGCTGTGGGTCACAGTGGGAAATGAATGTTGCATTATAAGTTCATCTTTAGTGGAAGTGCAGTATATTAGGGCTTTATATATTCTACACTGAACGCGTAGCCTGTAACATTCTTAGAAGTTAAGAATGCAAAGGCAAGCTGTGAATAAAACAGGACTGCATTTTACTGTAATATAATACTGTTGAAGTCTAACTCTGTGTTTTCTGTCTCTTTGGAAGCCTTCTGTCTTGCAGGATAACAGCATTAAAGATGCCTTAAAATGTTGTCAACGCTTTGTTTTTTTACACGATAGTTCCAAAACAAGCCGGGCAGATGCAGTAGATGTCTGCTCTCGGGCGCAGTAACGTCCAACCTATTCCCTTCTCAGATGTATCAACTTCAGGGCTACTTTTCTCATTTCTCAGTGGTGGGCTTCGTTTTTCAAGCATCAGATTCTTTTTACTTCACAGATACCATGATTGTTCCAGACTATTAAAAAGAAATATATATATATTTGTGCAAATATTGGTTGACTTTCAGTTATAAAGAGTCATCTCTTGTATAGTCCAATGAGGCAACCAGGAGAATTTAGATACAGGGTGTTGGCTCCTTTTCATTTTTTCTTGAACCTGCCAGCATCTGAAAGCTTTGAACCAACTTTGCTCTCGCAGCATTGTTTTTTGTTGGTTTTTTCTTAGGTATGTCTGAGGCTGGCCAACAGAGGTGAAAAATTGCACATCGTATGCGTTTCTAAGTAACGGAGCACTGAAGTCAGTCAGAAAACCAGTCTGTGGACTGAATAGGGATTTGTTTTCCTTGCATTGGTATTAAGTGCTTGTTAAACTTTCAGAAGTGCGTTGGCCTATCAGTTGGACAGCAGTGATAAAAAGTTATTAGCTGCGTTGAACTCATCTAAGGAACTGCTTTCTTTCTAGGCAAATACCTCAGTTCTTTATGATTTTGCTTTCTCAGTCATTGTTTTCCTTTCTGTTGTTTGTTTGCTTTTCAAATACAAGCTCTGACTTATTCTGGATTAACCATGCCTGGTTCTGGCATTGCTTTACTGGCTGTGGCAAAGTCCTGTGACTCCATCACTGTTAGAGCGGGCAGCTGAAGCGCACGGCAGCTGGAGGCCAATGCCATCTTCCATTGGCCCTCTATTTCATCTGAAATAAATGTGATGTTTCCATTCTTTCTG